GCTTTTAAAAAGTTGCTATCTGCTATCTTTGTACTGTATTATATTATAAAAATTCATAATTAAAACCAACAAATATAACATGAAATGTAGTGGCTCGTATTATAAAAAACGTCTGTCACAATTGTTATCAACTCAATTTTAACAAAATAATTTATTTTTTTAGATACTAAAATCAAAATCATCAATTAGTTCTAGCTGCCTTGACTTACACTATTTAGAATCATAATTGTCACTTTTTCTGCTAATATATTGCGTTCATTTTGAAGCCTGTAGATGATCGTAAGGAAAAGTAACTTAACAAGTAAATTGCATACACAAGTAGGTGATGACAGAAAATGTCGCCAAACACAGATGGAACACCAACGAAATATGTGATAGTATACTACAATAATAAAAAAAGATTGAATTTTGTTTCTAAAATAGCTTAAAGGAGTTCATGATGCAGACATCTCATTCACATTATAGGAAAATGTTTCCTAAGTGGTTCGCCGAATGAATGTTCTCATATTCCAAGATACATCTAAATTCCACAGTACAAATAAGTACATGAACAATAAATATTCAATTCAAATAATAATTAAATCACAAACGCACCCATAATTCTCATCAGCATTTGCTATGTATAATCCGTCTGTATCTGGAGTAAAAGTGACACCCGCAATTTCACCGAACAAATCAATTACTTGAGATCGATCAAAAGTGTGTGCGTCGAATATGTGCACGAAATCAGCCGGTTCTATAAATAAAAGTTTCAGTTATTGGTTTTAAGTCTCTAATTCGAGTTAATAAAAAAAAAAAAAAACAGGCACAAACCTGCCATAGCTAAATAACGTCCATCCTCAGAAAAATGAAGTGATCTCACGGCACCTATTTTCGCACCCAGTACATTGAACGCTTTGGACATATTTCTCGTATCATACAACCTAAAAATGCAAATATAATATAAATACCTTATAATAATACTATAGAGATCATTATTTATTACGTCTAATTATCTACCTGGTTGTTTTATCTATATAATACATATATACATATAATGTTAAAATCATATATTAAAAGTAATTATAAATCATAATTAAATTTTAATAATACTGTACCTTGATTGCCTGTTGCAATAACCCGTCCATCCGGACTCCAACAACACGCAAACGAATAATCAATGTGACCTTGAAGAGTTGCAATAGCTGCAATAATAAAATAATAAAAGTGTATTAAATTTCATATGTAACAAAAGTGTATTAAATTTTACATACATGCAAAAAAAAATTAAAGAAACATACTCTTTCTTGAATCAGCACTTGCAATCACTGTGTCAGTATCATCACCAACAACACACAATAAATTTTTGTCCGGACTCACGGCTGTGCACTATGAATTATAAATGTTAACATGAATTGCAAATAATTATTTCATTATAAAAGGACATCTATTAACAAAAAATTAAATATATACATTAACTGGCCATTGAAAGTCATAAGTGTCAATGAACTTCAATGTTGCAAGATCCATGATTCGAGATTTTCTATCGTTGCTTGATATAACCGCAACAATGCCTAATAATCGAGCAAAATATTTATATTAAACAAAAATAATAACACTTATAGATAATAAAACGACTTTTATGAATGACTGACCCCCCGTTCTTGATCCAATAATATCCATGTGATTTGTTATTCCATTAGAATCCGTTGTTATCTGTCCAAAATGAACAGGATCTGCATCAAGTCTTCGACACGCATATTCACCATATAATCCTGAAACCGTTCAGGATAATTAATATGGCAATGCTACATGCTACCCCTTTACAAAAAAAAGTTTATTAAATAAAACATACCACCAACAAGTAGATAATTATCCCTGCAAGCGATTGTGCTGATTTCAAAAGGAGTTTCTGAGTTAACACGGTTGTTGTAATTCAGATCCAATGCCACTTTTGATTTTTTCATTATTGAATTCCAATAATGAATGCGTGAAGAATCTAAAGATAACATTATGTTAAGAAAATTGTTATGTAATTAAAGTGTTTTCTTGAAAATATAATGAATAGCAACCCACATGTATAAAACACGTCATTTCTTCCAGTTGCCCATAATAGGTTCCGCAATTGAAAATGTACAATAGAACATTTATGTGAAAGTGTTGTGTATTTGAACTTGTAAAATTGAGAATCAGTTTGAACAGGTTTAATTTCCTAAAATAAAAATAAATTTATATAAGT